ACAAATATGGTATTGCAACAGTGTTTAGCTAACCATATGTAATTGACATCCTGAAAAGCCTTATTAATGGCCTTTTACAGCGACAAATGTATCCCATGCCCGCTTAGAAAAACCAAATCAGTGAGCAGACAGAATGTAAAACTCAATAATGAACACTTGTATTGCTTTGCGTCACTTTGATGAGTGTAATGCGCAATAATTGCAAAAACCTTCCCTGAAGAGATGTGTTACTGTCCATGCTAAAGTTATGGCAGATCCTTAACATCTGTAACTTATCTCACATAGTTCTGTATCTGAATCTGTTTTCACACAATGCCAAGTGGAGTTTCGTGTTTGTTCCAGACAAATAAATAGCTTTGTTTGAAATGACGGTTAGTACTTCCTGTGATGTAAGAGAGGGGGAATTGCTGGATTCCAATGCTGGAAATTGGCATGAGTGAGAGACAGGTAGCCAGCTGTTCATTACACATTGCATTTTGGTCTGCTGGGTCTGATCGACATCCTCCCCCGCCACCCGGACCAACTCACCATCAGGTGGTGATCAGTTAACAGCTCCGCCCCTCTCTTTACCTTAGTGCCCAAAAAATTAGATTGATAAGTAAGGTGTAAGGGGGTGAGTAAAACTCAGTATATAGTAAATCTACTACCCATCATCAAAGGTCTAAGGTCGGGGTCGGGAGATTTTTTTTACTATTATTATCATGTGATTGACTTAAAACGTAAACTGAGCACTTCAGAAATCGGCCCTTTAAATGACACTTGGACGGTCAGCAAATCCTCCTGGCTCCTTCGCTGACAAGAACTAATCATAGGCCAAACTGCGTTCCATTATTCCAATCATGCGCACACTCTTCACGTGTACTTGGAGTGCTTGGAGAGCCTGTGGTAGCATTACAAAGCTGCGAGAACGAGAAGCAGGACTTAACCATGCCGGTGTTGTGCTGTAGAATGCACCCCTGACGTAGAATGCCCCCCTGATGGGAGCGCGGTTGAAAGTACACAACAAGGCGAAATAATCCAAGTTTTCCTTACCGTTGGACGGATTCAAAAGCGTGTGCCTTTAATGACTTCATGCAGGTTCTAGAACTTGTTGTCCTATGCTTTGGTCCATGCTTGAAGCCTTTTGTGACAAAATAAAAACATGTGAACCCTGGTCTTTTTAACACTCCTTTTCACCGCTGATGTTATTCATTGATTCATTAAAACGTAATGGTTTTGAGCCATCTAAAATAGCGAAAGCCGGCATCTCGTGTTGACTGCTCTTCAGCGCTCTCAAGTCTCACGCATTCAGCGTGTGACACACGCATCCCCACCCGTTCACACTCTCACACCCCACACATTGTATTTCTCACGCATTTATACGAACATGGTGATGTCCACAAAGTTGCACCTCTGTAACAATGGAACAGGTCGAAATCAACTGAGTTCCTCCGAGAGTTCAGAAGCTGCGTGCCACGCGCAAGCCAGTCAAATAAAGTATATCTACTGAACAGCCAATCAAAAAGCAGCATTGCTGTATCCGGGTAGATTTTGATATCTTACGGTTTGACTACAGAAGAAGACAGACACTCGCCGAAATAGAGCAGGTTTTTATAAGGACGAGATAGACCCACTGATTACAGTAAGTCAGTAACCTACACATGCAGAGACCTCAACACCTCATGGCATATAAACTCATATAATAAACTAAAACCCTATGCTATTGCTATTAACAGCTGCATTGATGAATTTAGCCTCTGTACAGCCATTTTCCCCTCCACAAAAGCAGCATTTCTCATATATTCTTTTTAAAGTTCTGACAGTGTAACGCTCATGTACCAAAGGATTACTGTAAGTATCTCCATGTTTGTGAAACTTATACTAAAGTACAATTCATCTAAATGCTCCTCAGTGCTGATTTTAGCAACTCTCCTCCACAACAGGTAACTTTACGACTTTATTCTTATATTATTGACTTTATTCTCCTAAATAATAACTTTATTGTCTAAGATTTAAAAACGTTTTTTTTCCTAATGTGGCCCTCATACTCCGTTGTATTTACCCCGCTTCTCACCTTTTCAACCCCTGACCCATTTTCATGCCTGATATATATATATTTATGTATAAAGAAATTTGACCCAAACTGTTGTGCAAGTTAAAAACTTGGACTTTCTTCAGGACCAGGTTCAAACATTCGTGAACTCCTGCTGTGCATATTTCAGACATGACCCGGCACACCAGCTTGCATTTTGTATTTTAATGAAAAAGTAGAATAGTACAGTTGTAACAAATACCCGGGCCTTACATGGGAGGTCAATGTGAAACAACAGCATATTTTAAATTTTCATACCCCAAAACAACCACGTCTTTTCAAGCATCACAAACCGTTTACCACGTTTTGATTTGAAGTTCAAATATCTTCTTCTGTCAAACATTAAAATATCTATCCCTTCTGAAACACACAGAAACCATAAATATTACTAAAGAGTGGATTCATCACACAGGAGAGGCTAGATAAGATCAAAAACATCGTTTTTTTCTCATTTCTATAAAATCTTAACTGTCAACCATGTCACCCAGTTGGGCTATTTTGCCCTCAGCTCTGCCTGAAGGAGAAGGTGAACAGTAGGGGCACAGAAACAGAGCTGAAAAACAAAACACCCCATACGAAAGAAAAAAAAAAGAAAGTAAGTCTTTTTGAAAATTAATAAATACTTATCGTATATCTAAATAGTTGTAGCTTCCCATGACAGAGAGTAGGTCACTTATCCTCCTCATTTTCTGTATTCATGTGCAGATAAACTTAGAAGGGTTTCATGATAACTTACTGTAAATTGAATAAATGTGATATTGAAGTCAATATGTACAGTGATTTTGCCTCATGTTATCTTTTCTCTTCTGATTTTAGACAGGCTTTTGAGATGTGCAATAACATCGACAGGTCATCTGTATCTGTGGATTTAACTTTAAAATTAAATACTGGCCAGAAATAAACATTTTTAATTCTTCTGATCCCATCCAGGACATGTTTCTATCCAGTGGGTGGCAGTGTGCATCTTAAACACTTTGAAGAATACATTCAGTCACCCCTTAACCCTCTTTTTCTCTGTGTAGTTAAACGGGCACAGTGTTCTCTTGCTCTTGCCATGATGGAAAATGAAAACAGTGCTTTTGAATCGCACACTTCACCTTAAAAATCTTTAATGTGAGCTTCTCAGAATTTTAGGTTCTTGCATACTTTTCCAATATCCCATGTTTGAAATGTTACAATGTTATTTTTCTTGGACAGTATCCATGAAAAATACAGATCTACATTTACACTTTGAACCAGAAACTACAAGCAATGAAAGAGAGAGAAGGAGCAGGGTTTGACATGAGGTGCTTACAAATGGACAACTCAAAGCTGTAAATATACGGTCCTGTTACACCTCATCTGCAGTGTGTAACAGAGGTGTAACGGAGAAGCTTAGCTGTTCCACCTCTGCTTCACCTCCTACTTCAGAGGGGGTCATGGAGGCAGATTGGGGTTCAAGTGGAAGAACAGCAGGCAGGGTGGGACAGCGCAGTGTGTATTTATGAGCTGTGCCACTTAAGCTTCTACAACAACGTGATACAATGTGCAAACGCGCACAGGAACACCAATATGACACCGTATTAGGGTGCAAGGTGTAGCTACAAAGGTACAGTGATGGTGGAGCTCCATTCATGCGCTGTTGCAGAATCACAGAAGCTGTAGCAATAAAGAAAAAAAGCAATCAAAGCTATTTTTCTTTTTTTTTTTCCATGTATAAAGGTTCAGTTTATCCACACTGCTGAGCAAACCTGCATGAAGGTGCTGAATTTGGTTTACTGCTGTCGTTGAGCTCTTTCCTGTCCGCTGTGTGTCCCTCTGCTCTGCCCTCAGTCACAGCCTCTAACACTGCTCACTGTTCTCATTCACAGACTGGCAAACACAGATATTGAGCCTTTAAGCATCAGATAAAACAGATTTTGATGGTCTGTTAAAGAGCAGAATCACCTCTTCTGCATGACAGGCAGCTCCAAACCACTGTACAAAGACTGACATCTATAAATGACTAAACTAGCAAGAGAATGGGAAAAAACATCAGACTCCTTGCAGATGCACACACCACCTCTTTTAGGATTATAAATGGTGATTCAGAAGACACATTTAATTTTGTTTACACATTATATTTTCGGATGACTCTTCTGTATTTCACTTTTTATTACCACTAACAGTTAGTCAAACGTTGGTCTGTGTTCAGTGACATTTTCTGCACCATGGCTTCTGGATGCCCCTGGAGTTGAAGTTTGTTGCCATTGTATCTATATGGTTGATTTGAACAAGTACTATATCAAAGTTCAATATTCTGGTTTTGTGATGGCACTACTTGATACAGTTTTTACAAAATCAGCCATTAAGACCCTGTTGATGTAAAAAGAAATCCCAGAATTCCTTTTCAACCGTCTATAAACTCTAAAGTGTGTTAAACATCAGGTAGGGATCGTTTGAGTTCAGGAGGTCCTGGTTTGAAGAGCATGTGAGCATGTCAGTTTCATCAAGGCACTGACTTTGTGTTCAGTGTGAGCAGCTGTATTTCACTCTGGAGATTCAGGCACAATCTCACGAAGTGGGTTCATGAAGCACAAGCTGGACAGAGACTTTAACTAACAGTATGTGTGGGAGAAAATGACCAAAAGCCTCTCATTCATCCACAGACCGTGAAATGTTTTGATCACAGTGACAGAAAACCTTCCCCCGCTGCTCTTATTTCCCCTTCAGTCCATGCTCCTGTGAAATGAAATCCTCCTTTCCAGTATATCCATGACTGTTGTGACAATGTCCACGTATCGTACAAATTCTTGATCAGTGAAGGATGGTCAGACGAGTGTACACCTTGAAGAAAACTAAAATGAAATATAATAAAACGAAACACCATTCCTCCTCTCCTGGTCCCTGTCCTCTTCCCCCCCTGGATTACAGTCTGGTCCAAGTCCAAGTTGTGCAGTTCTGGTCCTTTCTACAGATCTGTCCGTGCTCTGGCGGCCGCGGGAGCGTACTTGGGCATGAGCTCTGTGATTTTACGGATAAAGTCGGATTTTTCGGCACAGCCTTTGCAGGACTCTCCCCACTCCTCCAGGATCTTCTTCAAGTCCTTCACCTTAAGCTTCTTCAGGTCCACTGAGGTCAAATCCAGCTGCTTGTCTGCAGTACGAGATGAAAACAATCAGAAAATAGCACATTTGTTTTCCTACGTTGTCATGCTATGTTTCTGCAACACTATAATTTCAGATTCCTTTCAGTCTTACTGTTGCTGTGCAGAGTATCCATTTATATCTTTACAAAATAAAGATACAAAAATAAGACATAGTACTCAAAACACTGTTTCTTTTCAGTCTTTTTCAGCAGGCAACCCAAGTTTCCTTAAAACTGTGATTTACTGGCTCAAAATATGAATAAAATGAGTTCCAAGTCTACATGAGTTTTAGTAGGAGCAGTCTAAAACATTAGGTTTGTAAATCACCAGTAATTACAGAAAAATATTTTTTTTCTCACCGTATTTCAGCTCACAGATCTGACTGTCCTTCTTCTTGAGCTTCTCACAGATTTTCTCCACAGGGGCGTGATAACTGAGAGGCTTTGACACCTCGTTGATTATCTTTGTGGCTGCATCACTTGTTGCTCCGATGTAGTAACACTGGAAAAAGAAAGGAATTATTTAAATGCTTTATTGACTCAACTGACTGAGACAAAAGTCCCTCAAAGATTTTCAAGGAGAGTCAAATAGTCTTCAAGAAGACAGAAAGTCAGTCTCGGGAAAACATTTGACCTGGTGGTGTTATTAACAGAGGCCAAATAATCAGAGGTCTCAATATCGGCACAAGACTTTTCAGTTAAGTTAAAGCTCAATTTGAACATTTTCAGGAGTTCAGCGCACATTTGAAAACAGATTTAGATACTTATTTGACCAGGTAAACAGGTGACTTCTATTTCAGTATTTACTTTGATGCTATTCTAAATTTAGCCTCTAAGCCTGCTGAGAAAAGTTAAAAATAAAAACAAAAATCACTAAACACTCGTGTGGGTTTTTTTTTTTTTAAAATAAAAGGAATATTTGTGACAAATTTAGAGATGTTCAAACTTTCAGAAACACAGAGATGACATTGAATTAAATTGAATTAATTCTGTATTTCACAGTCAAATTACAACCTAACTATCTTTATAGTGGAATATCACTGATGTTAGTCCAACAAAACTGTAACCCACAGTTCAAAGCCTTACTTTACCAAACAGAAGATAAATAACTTTTTTCTCTGAAATGACTGAAAATGAAAATTCAACACCAGCACATATGCGGCAAACACATCTCATTTCAACATTTCCCCTGCAGTTGAGTCACTAAACAGTGATGTCAGCTCAATGTTGAAAACCTAAATTAAAAGGGGGACATGAATGATCTACACACATGGCTGAAAGTTACAAACACACAACAACAGAGTTACTTACAAAGCGGTTTTCTTTGCCTTTAGCATCTTTGCAAGTCTTTAAGAGGGCCTTCTCGATTTCTGCACTTTTAAACTCCACGTTGTTGTCCTTTAGTGACTGATAAAACTTCCCCAGGAAGGACACACACACTGAGGAAAAGAAGAAAAACACACATTTAAAACTTTTCATGTGCAGCTGATGTAGAGAGATGTGCCAGTGTCATTCCTGAACACTAACAAAGTGACCTCGGACAGAATACCAAGCTTCCAAACACTCCTGTGCAGCCACCTTACCCCTGACATCTACCCACCGGTGAATGCCTACAGATAAGATAAGAAGAACTTTTCTTATCCCCGAGGGGGATAACTCAGATCCTGTTTGTGTTTTCTTTTGTGTGTAACCTGTTCAGTGACTGAGTGAGACAGTTTCAATTCTCCTGTGGAAGGGAATCAAGTACAACTAATAATGTGACTCAACCTGAGAACTGAGACATACTGTTGGAGGACCCACTGGGCTCTGTAGCAGTATCAAAGGGCTCATGACTGTAGCGGTTTGCACTTACATTTCAGAAATGAGTCATTATAGAGCCAGATTTTGTTCCATGCATCACATGCATAGTGCTTTATCAGTGACCCTTAAAGTGCTTTGTATTATTCATTCACTTACACAGTTGGTAAAGTACCTTCGTAGTCACAGCTGCCAATCTGTGCCTAAAGCCTCTCCGACCAAACATCACTCAACAATCATACACCAGTGGAGGACACACACTAGGAGCAAGGTGGGTTAAGTGTCTTGTCCAAGGACACAACAGGCAGACTAGGGAAAGGGGGGAATTGAACCAACAACCTTCCAGTTGATGGACAACCACTCTACTTTCTAGACTACTGACACCCACATATCAATGACTAAAGCAGAGTCACTGTATGTTGATACCACAGGTCATGTGTAATGTGTTCAACACCCGCTGATTTCCCACCCCTGCAGTGAATAACAACAGCTTCAATCTTAAAATACTAACTTCATGAGAGCAAAATGAAATTTGGCAACAACTTCAAATTGATTTTCAACCCTGACTCCAAAAATGTTAGGACACTGTGAAATGGAGATAAAAAACAAATTTGGTGGTTAGTAAGTCATCAAAATACTGAATTCCCTTAAAAGTTAATGATCTAATTTGTCACATTATTCATTTCATGATGCCTCAAATGTCTTCATCAGGTGATGGCAAGGTCCTCTCAGAAAAAGTTACTGTCTGTTGCTCCTAAATCTTGATTTATAGTTCAGCATTAATGGAGCCTTCACAAATGTGTAAGCTATCCGTGCCATGGACACTTATGATCCCTAAGTTATCAGGGATACTGACTTTGAACTATGAGCTGATAACAAGCTGGGCGGTCTCTCTACTCTGGCAGAAGATGCTGCATCTATGACTCCCAAAAACAAAGTCGAATTGAGATTTTTCAGTCCACAACAGAACAGTTTTCCACCCCGTCTCAGTCCATCATACCTAAACTTGGGCACATTTCTGAATCATGGTCTAGTTTTAACCTGCATTAGTGGATGCAGCAACACAATGTGTTTACAAACACTAATTAGATTGAATGATTTTCAGATCATGCAGAGATTTCTACTTCAGTCATGTCAGGTTTTAAGACAGTGTTGAATCCTTAAAAAGACACTGTGTTCTGTAGCCGATGATATCCACTCATTCTGTCAGATTTGACACTCAGGAACTTTATTCTGAAATTGTTAGCTCACTCTCTTAGCTCACACAGTCTCTCACAAAGTGGTGAACCCTTTCCCATCTTTGAGTGTCATGTCATGTTACTAAGTTGTTGGAAATTAACTTCTTTAGTTTGGACATCTTTCTCCAGTTGTTTTTTACAACATTACTCAACTTCTTCACCTGTTTTTTGTTCCTGTACCAACTTTTTGTAGCGTTTTGCTGGTATTCAATTCAAATGAGCAAATTTTTCACGTTACAGTAATATTTCTAACATTTGACATGTTGTCTTTGCACTATTTTCAATAGAATATCTGCCTTAAATGGTCTACAAACCATCAAATTCTGCTATAGTGTACATCTCAGTGTAAATGAATATGGTAATATACTCCAGGGTAAATGTGCTGCAGGGTTTCCCGGAGTCCTGTCCTTGTTTCCACAGATGCCAAAACCAAATATCCAGTTTTGTCTCTGCTCTTTGTATTTGTCATACTTCAGTGTAATTTTTGTTAAATTAATCTCTGTTATTAGACAGTAAATCTGCAGCTTCTGGACCATGTTTCTCCTTCAAGAGCTCTGAGTAACTTAATCTGTTAGCATCACAGGAGGAGCATAAACCACGAGCTCAGTGTGTTTCACCTGGCTACTTCTGCCCCCCACGGAGAGTTAAATGTTACACACGGTGGATTCATATCTCATTAATGTATTTTTTTCAAGTGAGTCTGAAAGCAGGAAACATTAGAGTCGATGCTGTAAGTGTTAGCTAAAGCTAGCATGCTGATTTACCTTCACATTCTCCTTCCTTCAGAGCTTCACACAATCCAGGAACCAGAGTGAGCGCGAGGGCCACCGACAACCCGCTTAAACACAACATCTCCGCGGTGATAATTATTATAATAATCTACACCTTCAATCTTTAATCTTCTCTGCTAAACTCGATCACTCTGCTCCGGGAGAAATTCCTACTCATGAGTCGCTTCAGTTCAGACGCCGGTAGAGCACGCAAACGTTCCTGATTGTACGGACTATCCGGGGACACGTCATACAAAATCGGCGCCCTGATTGGTCAAAAGGCCTGACTCTCCGCGTTTTCCTCCACGCAATTCCCTCTGATTGGTCAGACTGAGAACATTCCGGGAACAACGTCCAGTTGGCGCCGCCTGATTGGACCACATCCGCCGCGTGCGTTGAAAGGATTTGCATTAATCTAAATAGTGACAACTTCATATTACACTTGTTTTAAACTTGTTCTCCTATTTTTTCTGTACATACAGAACATCGAAAGTTTAGATTACTAAAACAAACGTTTGAGCAAAATAACAGAAGCAGTTATAATGAAATAATTAGGGGAAATTACAGTTAGACACAGTTAGACCTGCCACATCAGTAGTCATCTTTAAAAACATATTAAAAAGTCTTTTTCTATAGCATTCCGTTGAACTGTGTGTGTGTGTGTGTGTGTGTGTGTGTATGTGTGTGCATGTCTCCATGTGTGAGTGTACGCATAAATGAGTTTAAGTGTGCATGCAATGAAGTTGTTTACTTGCACTTACACTCTTAAATTGATTTCTAATTGATTTTTTTATCACTGTTTTTTTTTAAACTATGTTTACCTGTTTTGAAGCACATTGAGTCTGCCTTGTGCATGAAATGTGCTTTATAAATAAAGTTGAAATGAATTGAACTGAATTGAATTGGAATTACGGATAATTAAATTTAAGAAATAAATGCCTGTAATACATTTTAAGAGGACATTTACTGAGCTTGCAGTGCACTTAAAATTAAGAAATTTTAGTCTGATAATCATTCTTTTTTATTTTGGAGCCCCTAAAGTTGCAAAAAGTAAAAACAGAATTAAATAACTTGTTCGCACACTATAATAACCTGATCACACAATATGGTAAACTGTGTGCAAAAGATAATTCTATTGTGCGCACAAGTTAGTAACTTGTACACCTAGAATGAAGAATATTACTTTTTGGAAATTCAGGGGCTCTTTATTCGATAGTTTCTACAGTCTTGCCTCCAGACTTTTAACCATGATTATAAATACATGGCTAACATTTAACATTTGCAGTTTAAATCGGTCAAGAATGCTAAAAGCTTTCTTTTCCAACTCAGTTCAGACTTTGGGGACAACAATGTCCATTAAACAAAGAATGTAAATGTCATTCCTCAGGGTTAAAGGGAGGAAAGGTAGTCTGGTATTTTGCACAGAATGGCTCTATAAATTAAGATTTACCAACAACCAAGCCAGCAAAGCTGTCCAATAGAATTTTAAAGCCACAATTTTTGTAATAAATCCCAGATGTTGTCAAGGCTGTGAGGACTTTGAGCTGAGACATTCATGAACAACACATCACAATCGAGGATGAGCAAAAAAGTAGACGTCACGAAATCCTTTTCACTAAAAAGGTAAAGCAGAACCTGTTCCTGTAGTAAAACTGGAGCTAAATCTTCTGTTTTAATGACTGATTCAATATGCTAATTGAAAGACCAAATGTCATTAATTTAAAACCCTTAATATTTAAAAATAGACCCCAACATAATTTCACATTCATCTCTGGCAACAGTTTTATAAGACTATTTTAAATCTAGTGTTGCTTTTATGCAGAACAAGCTGCAGCTGATAAAGTTAATCTTGAGCTGAAGATTTGGACAAGCTTGAACAGGTGCAGATGCACAGCAGTAAATGACAGTGTCATCAGCATTGAAGTGAAGAGCAGCATTTTGGACCTTCTGCCCAAGACAATGGCTGCGTCTGAAATGGATCCCTAAGCCCCATATAGGCGACTCAAAATTTCCCACAGAGCATTGCAAAATGTAGTGACCATCCGATGGTCACTCACCGGTGGTGGGCAGCCCGTCATGCATTGCGTCTCCAGCAGCAGTCTGAGCAGTGAGGTCACAACAGTGCACCATGTAGTGTCCAAAACCTCTGGTGATTGAGCTCACTACATAGTCAGTTATATAGTGAAACCCCATATGGGGGTTAGGGGTTAGAGATTGAGTGATTCATTTTGGACACAGCCAATGTAAATAGTAAACAGAGGTGGGCCCAGAACTGATCCTTGTGGCACCCCTTAAAAATTTGCAGCATCTCTGAGGTGGTACCCTTTAACTTAACAGCTTGGATTTTACCAGAGAGATAAATTGGCAAACTACCCAACTCTATGTTTAGAAAATCCAACAGCTGTAACATGTTCAAGTAAGATACTAAAGTTAACTGAAGTCTTGAAAAGTCTATAAACACACACAGACAGCTCTGCTTACCATTGAGGACTTCAAGAATATCATTCATAACTTTCATGAATGGAAGTACAGCAGCAGAAGAACTGTGTTTTTATGAAACCCTGATACAGAGATGGAACAAAATGGAGCTGGAAGCGTGTATTGTTCTATCTGTTCACTGACCAGGATTTTGAATATCTAAGCCCTATCTTTTTTTATTGCATTGTCTGTATGAGGGGAAATAAACCTCATTTACAGATAAACACACTCCCATTTAAAGTCCTAATGCAAAAAAGACCAAATAAAAAAACTACTTTCAGTTGTTATATTTTCACATTTTATCAATTATGTAATAGTCCTTGATGAAATACTTGAATTTGTAAGGGTTGCTTTATTCTTGTATTATCACTTGATGGCAGTGTTGCCCTCATTTGTGATGCTCATACTTCACATACAATGATGTGTGCCTCTCTACGCATAATTTCTTCCCTTTAATATAAGCCTTATCGTGTCAGAAAACATCTCAGCAGCGGGAAAGCTTTAAGTTTAGAGAGGCATGTTTCCTTTTAATCAGTTACAGTAGCTACATTACTCTCTAAATTGCCACAAGATCCTAAGACCCGAATGAAAGAATGGTGTACTTTGACTTTGCAGGGCACAGGAGCTGCAGTTTTGTTTTTTTTTTTGGTCAAAAATACTTTGTTTTCCTAGAAAACACCAAAGGCTAGAAAAAGTACAAACTTCCACTGTATAATATCCTTGGTTTTTCAGTTAAATGTACTCTTATCTTATCCACCACCAGTTTGTGTTGAAGCTGCATTTTTCACTGCTGCTGCTCTGCTGGTTTCTGTTCCTCTGAAGTTCTCATATGGATCTGATTTTCTGTGCCAAGCTTTGTTCTCCACAGAACGAGGCTGTCTGGGTGCTGTTATATAACACTGACGTAATATTGTGGTCCCCATCCACACTCACATCCTTGGCCTAAAAGTTAAAATACAGCTCCATGTTTTAATCTGCTAACAATCTTCTCTGACTTCCTCACATGAATTTAGCTGGGCCGTGATGTGCAAGAGCTTTTATGATTGGGGTGGCCCAGACTTATGAAGAGGGGCATGATTATGAATATCATTAATTGCCCTGTATCCTATAACTATTTCTACTTTAACATTTAACTATTATCCAAATGTTAGAGTACCATGTGCAATTTTGAACCTTTAAAATTACTGAAGCAGAGTGACAATTGAGGTTTGTTTTAGCAGCAAAAAATTAATGATGAAACATAGATAGTTATAAACATTCATAATCTGAAATAAAAAAGAGATGACGCTTTACAAAACAGACTAACTGAAACTGGGTTGTATGTTTGAACTTAACTAAAAGGAACAACTAAATTAATGATGCACTACCGCACCAATGTGGTCTTAAACCATGACTTACAGGTAGGAAACAAGTACATCAGCCTAAATAGCTGCAGCTGTATGCTGAGCTCACAGGTGGTCACTCCAACTACTTCAGTGATATTGTGATTCCATTTTACAAAGTGCAAAATAAAGCGAAATGTCAAAAGTGGAGTGACATTGTTATTTTCCAATGCAACAGCAGCAGATAGCAGAAATAAAATTGTTAAATTGAGTACCCATAAGTGTATGACAAAAATACATAAACATCATAGCTATTGCCCCATTTAAAAAGCTGTTCCTCCAAATACCTTTTTTCTTCATTTTTAACTTATTTTACCTGTTTGCAACACGAGTCCGGTGTACAATAAAGCAGGGTTATCCTCATATAATAAGATAAATAGGGCTACAAAGCAGACCACCCAAGCAAAAAAAAAAAAAAATAAGAAGAACAACAGGCAAAGAAACAGAGACTGAAATCTGTAACAACAATAATGCCATGATATATCCATGAATCTAATACCAGCTCCACAGGTCCCCTCTCCCCATGCCCAGGTACCCCAACTCGAAGCAGTAATTAAAGTTTTAATAGACAAGAGACAGGGGCCCAGCAAGGTGTATGTAATAAACATAATAATTACCTCTGTTGTGGAATATATGAGTGGTGTAAACTCTACAATTTAAAGTACCAGCGTTAGATAACATGCTACAGTTAAATCTAAAGAAAAAGACTAAAATCAATTTGTGAAAAGTCCTGTCTCTGGAGGGACGAAAACAAAATAATGGTTCAGGATTTTGTGGTTAAGGTGCATATTTGAAGAGGGGCCTAGGCCACCCCTGCCTCTGCTCTGATTACGCCCCTGGTCCTGGTAGCACAAACAGCACGAGGAGACGTCAGAGGAATTTTTTTAGACGGTTACGTCATCGGAGCTGCGCGTTGTTGCAGAGTCACTGCGACTGAAGGACTGTAAACAAGGAGGAGGAAAGTGGCGATTAATACACTTTATTCACGACTCTTCGTTCATTTTGTTACTTATTTCTAATACTCATTAGTGAGCGATTTACTGAAACATATCTTATGATTCACGTGTAGCCTGTAAATAAAGCACGGGTCGTGTTTTCGAGGAGACACCACACGGTGCTAACATTAGGAGCTAGCCTGTTAGAAACGTTCGCCTGCTTTAGCTGTCGCTAGCTTTGCTGGCGAGTCAACATTCACGGATCTGTCGCTGGAACCCCCTTTATGCACCGGGCATCTCTTTCTTTACCAAGGCCAGGATATCCTGAACCGTGAGTATCACTTGTTTTGTGTGTTTCCTGGGTGTTTCTTTAACGATTTAAAACCATTTAATGCGACGGTCTGTGAGCACTTAGCCTGTAGCTTAGCTGCTGAAGTAGCTGCTGGTGTTAGCCTGTGGGGTGTGAGTGTTTATGAAACCCTCTGTTTACAGGCTGCTGTTACCAGGTAGACTCTACACATGATAATACTGAGTGGTGGAGAAAGAGGGTGAACTCCAGGGGCTCATTTGGACCTGTGTTAAAGTCGTGTGGTGTTAGACTCTAAAACACAACGTGATGTTTTTAGCTTCTGAACGATCAGCTGGTAGTGACTCAACACTGACTCTGACTAAATTACCTGACAAATTAATGTAATCTGAAGTAAAGGGATGTATTAAATGTTACCTCTGTGATTTATGTGAGGTCCTTTTGGTAATAGATGGTTGGATGATGGCTATATAAGAATTTGTATTGAAATAAAAATGATCGTGACTTATTACTTCAGCACTTGTACTGAGGGAAGATTGCACGTGTATTTGTGTATTTGACAGTGTATTTGACTCATGTTTATTATAAAGCTGAAAAATGAGTACCGATACTGCCATACCAACACATCCACAGGCTTTCATCCACCAATAAAACTATTATCACCCACTAAGTACAAATGGGTATTCATAGATGTACTGAAACCGAGTAAAGTGATCTTAGCTGGTGAAGTTTTTATGCTTTTAGTTTTAGTTAATTATTAGTTTTATTATGTATGAGATCATCTCTTGCAAGTTGAATTAACTTCAAATATGTCATTTTTCTTCATGTTAGTCTTTAACACTAGCTGGCTGTACTGTTGTTGGCCTCATGTAACTGAACAGAATGTTAAAGTTTTTCTTTGGCATCTTGCAGCACCTGAATATTCAGATACCATTTCAATTTCCCTGATTCTGGTATTTCTGATTCCATGGTTTTGGACTGTAAGGGGCTGTATCCTTCAACTTGGCAGCACTTTTTCTGTATTTGAATTAAATGCAATTAATTATTTCAGCACTCGGCATCCTCAGTGCAATAGACGCCCTCTTCGTCAGCAGTTTTCTTTTGGTCGCTTCGCGCATACACAAGTATAATTCAACCATAGGAAGAAAACCTCACTTTGTAATGTCACTTCACCATCAAGAACAAATCAGTAAAGGGCAGGATGTCTGGGACACTGTCTTTGTCAACAACCATGATGGAGGTCCATGCAGAAGAGGAATTATCTACACTCAACCTTTAGTTTAGAGGGCTGTGACTAGGGCTGGGCGATAAAACGGTAATGATATCAAAAATTAATTTCCCTCAATATCAATAGAAAACGTGGTCAATACGCTTTTCAATAGCCATTTCATTCTGCCATGTTTTGGTAGACTTGACAAGTAGCCAATGAAAAGGGGAGTTGCTCAGGATCCACACCCCGCTGAACAAATCATGTACTGAATTAGAACCAAGTAGCAAACAACTGTGTAGTAGAAGGCTGCAGCTACACACAACCATAGAACTTTAACACGTGCAGCTGACAGGACTGTCAGTGAGAAAATAAGAAAATAAGTGCTACCCCCGGCAGAAATGCAGATGAAGGTTCAAGGTCAGACATGAAGCAGAGTAATGTGCACTGCAAATTTTGCAGAGTACATGTTAAATTTCATTCAAGAGTAACAGGGAACATTTAAGATTGACAAGTGATTTTTTTATATCATGATGGATATCAACTGATATATAAAAAATATATATATTGTGATAAACTTTTTCCCATATCGCCCAGCCCTAGCTGTGACTAATGTTACATCATGGTTTCTATCAAATATTTTAAGGTTTTCTTTGCAAAATGCTGTTCAGAGAAACCAAACACAAATGTAAGGAGAATTTTATTGCAGACTTAGTTAGGCTGTGGGTGCTGCCAGCACAACACAAATCAAACAAACAAACAAAAAAAATAGGTAAAAGGACACAGCCCCTAAAAAAAGACCCCACATTGGCCCATCTTTTTTGTTGGAACATCCATTCAGACACTCAAAGTGAACTTTCAGTAGTAACAGAGATTTTTCTGTTGAACTTTCTAGCTCTTTTTCACTCAGCTCCCTTTTCTCACCAATCCCAAACTTTGTCCCCAGACAATTTTAGGACAGTATAAAAAAATCTGATTTTATGTATATATATTTTAACCAATGCTATCAGAAACTAACAACAAATGAGAATCAAGTATGTTACACAGCCAGGGGATCCATAAGAAAGCTGAGGGATACCTTAAAGGATGGTGGCAATTTAGAAAGGGGCCCAAGGGAATGTCATGTAGTAAAAAGTCGTCAAAGTCAGTTTTTTCATCACACCATAAAGTTTCAGGTGGTTCATATTTTTGTAGCCCTTTGTGCCAGATTTTTTTTTTAACAGTTTGACTTTCATGAGATCAATTTTTATTGATGATAATAACCTTGATACTGCCCCAGAGTTCAATCAGGTGTTCTGAACAACATCATTTTGTTGAAGTTAAGCAGCCACTTCAACCACCAGAAGATTACAACACATTTACAAGGAAACTTCAATTCAATGATGGTGTTTTAAAAATCTATCTACCAATCCCTCTAAACTCTGTGTATCCCACCAACTAAAGAGTGAAAAAGGAGAACAATTCAGTGTCCTGGAAAAACTGTCCTGGTTCAGTGAAGTTGGATTTGTATTTACTTTATTTCTTTAATTTACATCATGAAAAACTGATAATTGATGTCTCTGTTTTGCTACCGTACATGAATACTCAGGTAGCAGCACCTTGAACTCTAGTCTAGTCAAGGTTTCCTTTTCACAATTATGACTAATGTTGGTTTAAAACTCGTTGATGATGATTTGTTGTTGTTTTCTGTGTCAGCTGGGTGGCTGGTCAGAGCGGCCTCCTCCCACCATGGAGGCAGGAGGGAAGGACTGTGAGGAGGAAACTCTGCAGACAGCATTCAAGAAGCTGAGAGTCGATGCTGAGAGGTAAAAAAAAACCTGCTCACGTTTGCTCAAAACGTAGTTTCTGCTGCTGTTGTGACATGTTAGAAAGGCCATTTTAATATTCATTTACCACAAACTGTTTTATACGCTACTGTCCTTCTCTGTGAAAAGTATTGTTTTAGTGTTTGATCAGGGTTTCTGTCAGTGTAGCAGTACCATGTATGTTTTTTACATTTTATAATCTTGTGACATACAGATACAGACTCTGCACCTACAGCTGTCAGTTAAGTGAGCTGACAGACTAAATTAGATTAATCCTGAGCACCAAGGAAGTGGTGACAGCACGACATATTCCAGTTAAAACTAACATGGCATGCATGCTGACTGTTATGGGACCATACATGATGGTGGTGTTAATGTTGGCAGGTATTTGTTGTTTTTGTATTTTGATGCTGAGTGCCATAAGTTAAGCTGTTTCTCTCGTCTCTCTCAGTCTACCTGGAGCTGTGAGCGTGTCAGAGGCGTTGGTTCCCAGAGCAGCTTCCAGAGCATGTCTGGATTCCAGCGGAGCAAAACCCAAACTGAGCTGCCCGAAGGACAACTGGCACAGGTAGGATCAGGCCACCGTTTAGTGTGCACAACAAATTTAAACTTAACTAGATTGTTGGTCTGACCTTTTCCAGGAGGATCCATCAGGTCTGATATGTAGCTGGGAGAAAGGCATTTGAGGGCTTTAAAGGTAGTCAGTAAAATCTTAAAATTGAAGTCATTGAGTCATTTTAGAGAAAGGAACAATTAGTGAAGCCGATTAATTACAAATCAAAGTTATCCTTAACATCAGAGACAGCTGTGTTTAATGTTTGGCTGAAAATGAGCCTGTATTTGCTCTTTTCGTACATCAGTAAGTTACTGAGGATTGGGACTGAAATGCTTTTGAGCATGGTTCAAAGCTTTTTGATTGACACCCTTTTTAAGTGAATTGTGCTCTGAATTGACTAAGCACATGCAGACTCACACAGGACTGTGCTCTCTTAAAGTTCAATTCTTCTTAAATAAATACAATAACATTTGGATGCTCCCCTCGTGTGCTTTAAACAGTGCTGAGAGGAAGTACATGTTACCATTACATCCCTCGAGTTAAAGTTTAAACTCTTAAATGATGATGATAATAACTATTTTAAGTCATTTTCACACTCATTTCCCCCTTCCTCCACTCTCTATCTTTAGCTGTATGAGGAAATCTTCCCGAGGAGCATCCAGAACTCAGCGGCGCCGGAGGTCCAAGTCTCCAATTCTGCAGCCTCCCAAGTTCACCTACTGCAGCCCAACTGCACCCCCTGGTGGCTGCCTGAAACACCAGCGCCTGGCAGTCCCTGAGTCTGCAGAGCCTCAACCTGCAGCAGACGGAAGGTTGACCTCTTCTGTCTCCATCCCTGCCCAGAAAGAGCTCCCCTCCACAGGCGCTTCCAGCCATATCTCCTCACTGGTTTTTGGATCCTGTGCTGGTTTTGAGACACAAGAAATCCCTGCTGTTGTTCCTTCTTTGGTGGCGTCATCGAGGCAGGATGGAGAAAGTTCTGCAGAGTCAAGCGAGGGGAGCTGCTTGGAGAAAAGTGCCTGTGGTGGAGTGGAGTCTGGAGTGAAATCCAGACCTGCAGAAGCTGCTGACTTCCGAGCTTTATCAGAGCTCCACAGCAGCAGCTCTGCAGACCGCCCTGTCGCTTCCTGCCCCTGCACTTGGAAGAAAAGCACAGATCCCCAGGAGGAGAGTGGGCAGGGGGCTGAACCTCAATGCCACTGTCAGTCCAATCAACAAGGCTGGGCTGGCGTGGAGGTGTACTCCTTCACTGGGCTCCGAAATGTCATCTCTGAGTGCGAGAGGAGCCTGCCGAGCCTTGTTGACCCAGCCAGAACTCTCAGCTCCAGCAGTAACACAGCCACAGCTTCCTCACCGTCATCATTGTCTTCATCGGGCTCCCCCCGCTCGTGTTCAGAGCAGGCCCGTGGCTACGTGGACGACATCACGATAGAGGACCTTTCTGGCTACATGGAGTTTTATCTCTACATCCCCAAGAAGATGTCACACATGGCTGAGATGATGTACACTTAAAAGATGATAATATTAATTATTATAAAGAGAATTTTTCTGTTGTTGAGGGAAAAGGCAGCCTCTGAGGAATGTCAGTAGTTGTTAGCAGAATGGATCAGGCATGAAAGTTTTAAGTTAAATATCCAACATTAACTGATTTTAACCTGTTTTCCTGCCCTCTGTTTGAGCTTTCCTCTCATTTGAACAGAACTGACAGGAACAAATCAACAACCTTTATCTCGTCAGTTCTGACTCTTACCTTCTTCCCTTTTTTTGTGCTATGTTAAAATTTTAATTTCCAGTTTACAGATGAAGTTGCCAAAGCTTGTGGTGCAGGCTCTTACAGAAGGACGTATAAGTAGGAATTTATGCAAACATGTAAAGCCGAGTGTTTGTGTCTGGATTTAATTTCACTCAATAAAGAAAAAACTGCGCAAATGTTCTCTTGTCTTTAATCAAAGTGAATCTAAACAGCTGATATGGGGTTGCAGTGAGAGCTGTGATTATTGTGATTATATTACTTATGATTACTTTTAATCAAAACATTGACTTAAGGAGTGAAGCCTTAGAAATTTATACCAAAATATATGGCTATTAAAGTAAAAAAAGAAATCGACCCTGTGTTCTTAACATTTTTCAAAGTCAAAATAAATTCTAGGTGCAAAACTATGATGTTTCTGACCAAGCTTGAGGGAGATATGGCCGACCTTGCAGGAACTGTAGGAAATATTATCTTCCTATTGCCAGGTTGACATCTTATGATAATTGGAAAATTAAGTAACTCAACAAGAACACTTCAAAGCTTTACCCAAGGGTTATGAGACGACTGTCATGTTTGTGGCAAATTTCCTGAAAATTGTTGAACTGATCCTAATCTGTTTCAAACATTTTAAAATTAAAAATTGATGATTTGCAGATCACTCTTCTGTAGGAGGGCGGCACAGTGGTGTAGTGTTTAGCACTGTCGCCTCACATCAAGAAGGTCCTGGGTTTGAATCCGGGTCAGGGTGTTTCTGTGTGGAGTTTGCATGTTCTCCCTGTGTCTGTGTGGGTTTACTCCAGGTACTCCTGTTTCCTTCCACATTCCATAAACACGCCTAAGTGGGGTTAGGTTAATTGGCCACTTCCAAATTGCCCATAGGTGTGAGTGTGAATGGTTGTTTGTCTCTATATGTCAGCCCTGCGATGAACTGGCGACTTGTCCAGGGTGTCCCCTGCCTTGGCACAAAGATGCTGGGATAGGCTCCAGCCCCCACGACCCCGGGAACGGCAATAAGTGGTAGAAAATGGATGGATGTTCTATAAGAAAAGTATGCACTATTTTTAATGCCAGCAAGACATTTACAAAAAGTAACTGCAGGAAAAACTATACGGGTAAAAAAGTTGTGCAATGCTTAAAAACAGCAGGAGGAACATTTCCAAACTAAAAAGGTTAATTTACCACAGATTAGTAACATGACTGGGTTTAAAGAGGACATTCAGAGAAGCTGAGTTTCTCAGGAGTAAAGATGGGAAGAGGTTCACCACTCTTGAGAGACTATGTGAGCTAATAGTTCAACAGTTTCTGAATAAAGTTCCTGAGTGTAAAATGTCAAAGAAGTGGATTTCATCATCTTCAGAACATAATATCATTAAAATATGAAAAAAATCAAGACTGAATGGCCCTGATCTTCAGGCCTGAGGCAGCACTGTATTAAAAACAGACAGGACTCTGTAGTGGAATTCACTGCATTGGCTCAGAATCACTGGAACACTTGAAATTGGACCATGAAGAATCAAAAACAGATTTGGACACAATCCCAAAACACCAGAAACTTACTCAGACCTGAGCCCATCTAAGGTTGACAAAAGGGAAGAGAAGGACTGTCCTAAAATCTGATGAAAGACAATTTGACATTCATTTTGGAAACCACTCGGTCAAAGTCAGCATCCCTGATAGTTTGAGGATCATAAGTGTCCATGTCATGGGTAGCTTCCAGGGATTACAACAGAATGGCTCTGTAGTAGAAGAGTCCTGCTGCTTGCCTGGTCTGCTTGCAGTCCTCACTTGTCAGCCATTGAAAAAATTTGGAGCATCTTCTATCAATCTTCTATCAGGCAAGATCAGGACAACTTTTAACATTCCAAACACCAGAAACTGGTCTGCTGGGTTCTCCAACATTTACAGAGCGTTGGTGAAAGAAGAGCTGATGGCAAACTATGGGAAACATGAACCTGTAACAACTTGATAAAAAGTGTTGCTCGATTTTCCTGCCCTAATTGGCTCTGAAATGCAGTACTTAATTTTATCCAGCAGGGGGCAGCAGTAAGCTGCGTTTTTTTTGTACTTTTGCAGCATGCAGAGCTCTGTGTGCTGTCAGAGCTTACTACTATATGACCTAAAATGATTCAGCAGGGTGTGTCTCTTTTCTTTCGGTGTCCAGGGATGAAAACGATCCATCTACCCCGAGCCAAACAGCTCAAAATGAAAAGACTGAAGCAATAAATCTGTTCTGGACCAACGGAGCTGCACAAAGAAACACAGCTGCTCTCACTCTCACCTCTTGGGGTGTTTACAGAGATTTCTCAATCTTGGAGTTTGTGGCTTTTTTCATCATCTGGTATCATTCAGAGCAAAACAAACAAAAAAAAAAGCATTTAAGCTCTAACAATACTTGTTTACCTTATAGGGTTTTTTTTTTCCCTCACCAAAACAAGATAACAATAGAAACACTGAACGTTTTAGTCAGGTCATACTCTCATAGTCCTTCACTCCTGATGCTGATGAGGATTTAGTCAGGTATTTTAGGTGAGGATGGCCTCACACAGAAAGTGAATGAATGTTCTGAGTTTTCACATTTCAATATTTAAACTGAAATCACCAACAGAAACACAATAAAGAAAAACTGTGAAGCATCCATCTGAGTTTTTATTATACTGCAGCATTTGAAGGGAAAAGATCTCAGTAAACCCCTCAGACATGGAAACAAGCGTCTCTCTCTAGAAATGAAGTTGATAAGAGCTGTAAAGTTGGATATTGAGCAGAAACCATGACAGGAAGCTGCTGTGGTTTTGGTCTTGATACACACAAGTAACAATGACCACAAACAAATGAGTTCCCACAAACAAACCGTAGAGAAACCAGCACAAGAGAGGAGCTCTGAACAAGCCCTGCTGCGTAAGAACCATCATTTTATCATTGACAAAGAAAGCCAATTCTATCCATCATCTTACCAGGTTACTTCCAGATGAAAACTTTATTCTTAGCTCCCACCAGGCTGATAAATGCTTGATTCTGATTGGTCAAACTCCCTTTAATCAGTGGTTATTCTGTGGTAGTGCTAGTGAGCTATGGAGAACAAACGCACACAGTGCAGTCCTGGCACATTTCTGCCTGTTGACACAGTGACAAAAATGTCAGTGAAAATAATGAGTTCTGAGAAACTAGAAGAAGCTGGTTAGAAGGACCCTAACCATCTCTTATTGGAAAAAGTGGAGCAGCATCCTGCCCTGCAATCTGTGCACCAGTAGAAAGGCAAGAAACAAGCGTGATAGTGCGTCTCTGTGCCCTGGTGCTTCATAAGTATAATCCCGTCTGTCAAATATCTAATATTAACAGAATATCTCAAAAACTGCCCTAATGCTCTCCATCTGATGCAGTTTGGATTCTGAAACAGAGAGCATCAAAAGTTCATCAGATCAGGGGGGATATGTACAAGGACCTATTGGACATAAAACAACCTTTTGACACCCAAAACACCCCCTCAAAGTGCTGATTTCAATACTTACTTGTTGTAATTTCTGCTGCAGTGCCCTCTGCTGGATGAAATCATCGTTAACAAGTAGAATACAAACTGTGTAAACTGGAGATGCTCACTCAGCATACCTTAGCTGCTCAGTTTGAGTTCACTGTGTGTCCTGTGTTGCAGCTTCCTTTCTCAGAGATGTCTGCTCATGTAGATACAGAGAAAATTTTTACACTCAAGTCTTTTCTTGTCACAACAAACATAAGTGACGGGAAACTTCCTTTAATGCACAGAACCCGATAACTTCTGTTCTCTAAGAAGTGATTTCCTGCTGAGACTGTTTATTTGAGTGGTGCCAGAGTGTAGAGATGAGGGGGGAAATCCACCATCCAGCTCAACACAGTAAAATACAGTCTCACCAAAAGCTCTCTGATGAGAAAAAGTCTGAGCTCTGATCCTCTCAGAGGAAGTGTGAAACCTCAGAGAAACTACCCGAGTGTCTCTGAGGTAACTCACACTCTTAGCAGCTGAGCAGAAACCGCTCACAGCACGTCTCATTTACCTGAACATGACACCAGAATGAAAAAAAAAACACCTCTCTGAAAAGGCAGAGGTTAACCTGCACCTTGACAATAACAGAGGGTGATGGTAAACGGCTCAGAGTGTGACATGGTTATTCTCTGAAACAACATAGAGGACCACAAGACATGGTACTGGAATCTGGGTCAAAATCGTAGAATGGTACAGCTTTACCAAAACTTCAGGGTCAGGATTAGACAGAGGCTAAGCACCATAAGATAGTTTGATGAGATAGTGTTTTCTTTTTTAAAGTGTGGTTGTATGAGTTTGCTGTTGTAGTAAGCATGCAAGCCGCAGAGGAAAGACCTTATCTAATTCCAACCCAACCCCTTATGATGGTGTAAGTGTTGCTGTGTTTGTTTCAAAGCCCGTGTCAGTCAGCTGGTCTGACAACGACCACCTCACAACAAAATCCGGGTTTAAAAAGTACGTCAGAGAGTCTGTCAGTCTTCTTGCTGATAGTGTTTTTGCTCTTGAAGGTCATAGAAGGGCATTAGCATCAGATCAAGTCTGTTTGTCAACCAGTTTAAACTTCCCTCTTGTGCCTTTAACTTATTTTTAGGGCTTTTATGCTTGGATCAAGTATGAAGTTTAGAGACACGAGCTTTGTTTGCTTCCAGGACCTCAGGACAAATCCTGTCAGTTTTGGCAATAAAGACACTTGATCAAGAATTTCTTGATCAGGATTAGTTTAACTATTTTTTGTCTGAGGTTTTCTAAACACAACTTGTTTAGGTTGATATGAAAAAATTGTAATTTTGCACCAAGATTACATAAAGTACATTGAGCTATTTCAAACTTGTTTTAAATGTAACAGGAGTACTTACAAAGTTAATCTCTCACTCCTGTTGTACCTTTTCTCTCTTTAATAACTAATCAGTATGCTGGTACCTTTGTCACATATTCATGTCACTCATAACAGGATTTGTAAACACTGTTTTATTTGATTTAGCCTCTATTATAACTCTCTGTTCATGTAAGGATCTCAGAATCCCAGAGGAATGATCAGTCAACATCGGCGAGCACACAGTGAACTGCTTTCCTATTTCAGCAGTTATTCTCATGTATAAAGAGACAAGTTTACTCAGGACACATTTCACAACCAGAGATCACAATACATACTCACACACACACTGCAGAGACCCGTGTGTGTGTTTTGACTGATGGCCTTTCACCCTCAGTTTTCTTCAGTGCTCTTTGAACTCTTTGTTTGACTGGTTATGCTGTTTTATTTTCAAGTTCCTGTAAAACAGAACTTAATATGTGATGATATTATTGCGATATTTCATGGCCACAATAATCAGGAACTGAAAATCTGATACCATGACATGTTTCTAAGAAGTTTCAATTGCACTCTTCTGACCATTGACAATTCTTCACATGATGCAGCAGTACTTTATGAAATGCAGTTATAATTAATGAAATGTACACTACTTCATGGAGGTGAAAACTTTCCATAAGCACAAAAATATAATTTATGAAAGACCATTTTTTAGGACACTAAACAAAAAACAAACAAACAACAAAAAAAAAAAAAAACACTCATGAAACATGAAATTCAAACCACAGAACAAAATGCAAAAATATTTCATCAAATGTAATACTTCTTAAAATTACTTTATTCAACACCAAATGCGTTTCACAAAAGGCAAAAATATTTCAGGATGTTTAAAAATAATTAACAAGAATGTAATAATAATATAAAATTGCAGAATTATTTTACAGAACAGAAAGACAATTTCTGCACAGCAGCATTTTGAAACAAAAGTAAGTTGAACATTTTAACATGAGGGTCTATCTGCACTGACTCACTTTTGGAGCAGACACCAAGTGGCCATTTGTGGAACTGCAGTTGTGTTATTTGAGAGACCCAAACCTTTCCAGGAAACATATGGAAGCAGAACATGTTTGCGTCACTCTTCTGACTACTGTCCACCAGGCAAACCTTTATTTTTTAATGCCACCTGTTTTGGGGTTGTTTGGACCGTTTTTCTCAACAGGAATTCAAACACAGGTGTCAATGTGCTAACATATGTTCCTACCTCTATGCATCTTAGCTGCTTTGTCTTACTCTCCAACACCTCCTCTTTTTTTGTTAACAGGAATGCAGAGAATCAGATCAGGTTCCTCTACTGTGATGGATAAAAAGATGGAGGGAGATACAGTTACAGAGAGAGAAAGAGAAAAACAGAAAGAGAAAGAGAGAGAGAGAGAGAGAGAGAGAGAGAGAGAGAGAGAGAGAGAGAGAGAGATACAAGCTTGGAAACAAACAGAAAACAGGAAAAATTCTGAATTATGGATGTTTGACTTTTTCATTTTGTTTGAATTTTAATTAAATTTTTAGTTTGTTTTGAGGTTTTTGGTTGATTTGCTTCTTTTGGGTCAAAGTGTCACATGCCCTGAAGCTTTTTTCAGTTCAATAGTTAGTGCATTTTTCAGTCCCGTTCTGTTTACTGTCCATCTGCCCCTCACCTCCTGTAAACCATGAGGGGCAGATACGGTGTCAAAAGCTGACTTAATGTCTGATCTGATGGTTAAAATATGATAAAAAAATGTAGGTCTGGACTTTTAATCGTTCAGTTAGTATACAAAAAGATTAAAATAAATAAATAAAAAAATACGTGGTACAAACAGTCAGGCAAAATAAAGATTCATTAACTCTTAACCTATTGATTCTTTTTAATTGGATACCGTTAAACCTGTTTGGGTACAGATCTGCAGACACTACAAATTTCTTGAATCCCCAGCAAACTTTGTAATAACTGCTATAGAGGATTAAATTAAAGGAAAACCTTTGAAATAAAACACATTTCACAAAATACAATAAAAATTAAGAAAGAAGCATTGAATGACTGAAGATGCAAAATATTTGTAAAAAAAACTAAAACATTTCACTGAAAAAAAGAAAAAGTTAAAAAATCCAGAAATATTTAGCAAAAAATGAAAACTAAGTTCTCAAAAACACTTGCTCAAAGAAAAAAACATTACCAAAAACATGCAACAACAAAAAACCATAAAACTATTTAGGAGAACAAAATATTCTACAAATACAAAGATAAACATTTTGGGTTTCAGCGAACTGATGAATAAAAATGAAAAAAGTATTTCAAAGATCAAAATACAAAATATTTCAAAATGTTCAA